AAAACCGTAGATTAAATAAACTGTCGGATTAAATATTGATTAGTTAATATTTTAGTTACTTTTTTTATTTATTAGTAGTAATGGTTACAATAGAACCCCATGAAAACAAATGATAATGGCCGCCACAAACATTTGAAGTTCAACCCCACACTACACCTTTTTACTTTTTACCTTACAAAGTATTGTAACAATAAAGGATGAGGAGTCCGGGTGTGGAATGAATAAAGTAGTAAGGTCCACTACGCCCCTCCTCAAATAGGTAACGGCTATTTTGTTTTACTTCAAACTGTTCAAGCGCCCTTCCCTTCTATTTGTCTCTCTCTCCATGGCAACAATGGGTAGCACATCCAAATTCCAAATGAGCAGGAAACAAACTCTCTCTTTCAAATTCCAAAAGAGCAGGAAATAATCTCTCTCTAACCCAAAGAAAACCCATATTTTAGGTCAATTCTCAGTACTTGCCTGGACCTGATTTCATGACCATGAGAACCAAATCTCCTTCAAAGTCCTCCAACTCAAGAGTAAAATTGAATCCCATCACAGATGATTCCGCAATTCATGTAATTGCTCGCATGAGGCGCGAAGCATCCAACCCAAATGGCAGCCACACTGAGATGATCTCCTCTGACCCTTCAATGAAAATCCTCCGAATTCAGACCGAGGAATTTTGCCGAGAATTCCATCTTGACGGGGTCTCGTTTTCATCAGATGAGAATTTATGCATATTTTATCAGAAATATGTTAAAGACGGTGTACTTTCAGTCAAAGGTGGAGGCAAATCCACAATTTTGATGTATGGTGCAACAGGGTCCGGAAAGAGTTATACGATGTTCGGGTCGGAAGCTGTAGAAGACCCAGGGATTGCTTTCCTTGCCCTCAATCTGATAACACAAGATTTGGAAGTGAGGATCAAAGTGGTTGAGATTTATAATGAGGAAATATATGACCTCCTTGCGCCTTCTATGCCTAATAGACATGGGGAAGTTTCAAGGGCTGCACACTTGAATCGGGTACTACCGATGAGTTTAGTTCTTGATCTTATTTCTTGTGTTTTACCCTTCTATCCCAACTCATTAGATAATGAGCATGCACGCTATGCTCCCCCAAGAGCATATTCTGTAGACTTACTCCCTCGAGTGTAAGAGCTAGTTGGAAGGATTTTTTCAATCTGAAATTTCCGCATCCAATTAATAATGGAAAATTGTCCCATGCGCGCTGGACTGCATGACTACATTTGCGGTCCAAAAATTGTATAGCATCGATCTTAAAAAGATCGATGCAAGTAGATGTTCCATCTAAAAACAATGGAAACTAATGGTCCAAGTATTTTCTTACTAGAATTATTATTTTTAGTTCTTAAAATTTATTATTTTTTCATATTCATGATCTCCATGTTAGAGATTAAATGTCCTTAAAAATTAAGTCAAAAGTTCCATCTCAAAAATAGATTTATTAATAGGCCCGTATTTTTACATATGCAGGCTTGGTCGCATAGAAATCGGGTCCATTAATAATTATTAAAAATTTATTTAATGGATATTAGATGATTAATCCTAATAAGAAAAAAAAAAAAGATTTTGAGTTCTTCAAAATTTGGATTTCATCTTTTGCAAATTAGATGGTCTCAGTTCAAACTCAGGATGTTTTTTTCTAGTGCTTTTTTTTATATCAATTATTAGGTTCGAGAAGTCATAGCCCCAATTGATTGGGTCCTAAAAATACTCCTAGATTGAGTATTACCCAAGGGAGTAAATAAATATCATGCTCCCAAGGGAGCACAAAATCTTTTGGCTTAGATAAAATAATTAATAATTTTAAATAGAAATATTTCTCTTATTATCATGATGTTTTTGGCATATACTTTTATTGTGAAATATTATTAAAATGGTCAAACCACCTCAAAAAATAAATGAGTTAGTTAAAATCAATAATTTTATAGTTAGTTTTTAAAATTCCTTAAATTTAGTACCTTCTCAAGAACTTCGGCTAAAAAAACTCAAATTCCCTTGTTCTAGGTTTGTGCCCCGTGCAAAGGAGGGGATTTGGTAATTTGATGCATTCAAGTCACTCGAGCCAAATGACCTTAATATTACATCTTCTTGTTCCAGGTTCCAAATCCGAAAATTGTTTTCTACCGAGAGATCTTATTCCACGATAAGAGGAGGCATTTTATCAATTGAGCCCCACATAATCCAACCAAGCCAAAAGGCATGAGTACGCCTGCTTGTTCTTGATTCCGAACCCAGAACATGACTTTTTTATGAAAAAATATATTTAGGTTGGTAACGGAAAACAGGCAAGGATAATTACGTCACTTAGCTCAAAAAACTAAAGTGCCTCAAATTCCAAAATGCCCTCCCCTGCTGAGGCGATTTGTACTACAAAATAGGGGCAATTTGTAAAATTCCTTAGTAGGGTGTGGTTTGTATAGAGCCAATGCTCTAACCAATCAAAGTAAAACATACCTTCAAATTGGGTCAAGAAATGTGGTTTCAATGTTGGAAAGCATTGTGATAGCCTTAAAATATATTTTCATCTCTAATTATAAACTTTAAAACTTAAAAAATAGTACAGGTCAAGCAAATTTAAAAAAACTTGAAATTCTTGAAATTTGACAATCCAAAAATGCATTACAAAATGCATTATTTCCAAAACTTGAAATCGATTTTTTTCTCATGTCCATGCATGTTGAGGTCAAGATTATCAATTTGAGGATATTTGGGCATCAAAATAACTTCTAGTGAAATTTTTGAGATGCGCTTTAATTTGATTGTTTAGAGCCTCACATTTAAATAAACGTTTCCCTTTTTAGTAGAGTAAGGTGCCCAAGTGAAACAAAATTTAAATATAATTCTATGTTGGTAAATTAGTTCAATTAACCATCATTAATTTTTGAAGTGGTTTGACATCTTTTCAACTTGCATCTTATTTTTCTCTGTTAATTATTTCGAAAGATGATTTTATGCTTGAAATTTCAATATAGATTATCATATAGTTTAAAAGATTTCGTGAACAAATATTTACCAACAAGAAATCCCATTTTTTTTTTTTATCTGGTTTTGAAAGTTACTCATTTTTGTCGCCCACAACCAGCGGTTTAGTTTATTCTTTCTTATTGAACACTTATCTCGAGATATTCCCCGAGTAAAACCAAATTCCAAGCAGCTTTCAGTCCCTTGCCTTTTCAGGGAAATTCAAAGAATCTAAACAAATGCAATATCATATAATCTGGTTTCCATACATGGCTCGCATAATTTCTGCATAATCCCCAAAAGAAATGTGTATAATCCAATTATGTGGATTGTAAAAAAGAAGTTTGAATTTGGATATCATGTTAAATATGGTTGTCCTGTTTTTTCTTCAATATGACTCGTTTGAAGGTGAGGTTGCAGGGTAGAATGACAAAAGTCGCTAATGCTTGCTCGATTCATGGGAGCGATGCTCAAAGAGTTGTGGAAGAGATTGAGAAAGTGGAGAAAAAACGTAGCACTAGAAGTACAAATTGTAATGCAAGGAGCTCTCGGAGCCACTGCATGGTAAAATCATTCCCTTCCTCTCTCTCTCTCTCTCTCTCTCTCTCAAGGTGCTTCGAATCTCGCAGACATTATGAAGTTTCATATAAAACAGTCTCTCTCTCTCTCTCAAGCTGCTTTGAATCATGTTTACTTTCTGAAATTTCATAAAACATCTCTCTCTCTGAAGCTGCTTCGAATCTTTCTCATTCTGCTTCAAATCACCCATCCTTGATGAAGTTTCATATAGAACAGATAATAATCGATGTGCCTCAAGTCGGAGGAAGGTTAACATTAGTGGACATGGCTGGTTCGGAGAATATAGAACAGGCAGGACATGCCCAAGGTGCACAGAATAAAATGCAGGTCGAGTTTTACTTTCTAATTCTGGTTCAAACAAATTGTAATTGGATTAACAAAATAAAATGGGTTTACTCAGTTTTCTTATTCAAAATGGAAAACAGACAGGGAAAATCAATCAAGGAAATGCAGCACTTAAAAGGGTTGTGGAGTCCATAGCAAATGGAGGTAGCCATGTACCCTACAGGGACAGCAAGCTCACAATGCTTCTTCAGGTAAAAGGAAATTCTGGCAAGCCATGTTATAGTATTTTCTTACTCACTCTTAGGTTAACATACTTCAATCTCTTTTGTCTCAAAGGACTCTTTCCAAGATGAAAAATCAAGACTTCTCATGATTCTTTGTGCGAGTGCTGAGCCCAAGAATATTCAAAAGACAATTGCAACTTTTGAATATGGTTCTAAAGCAAAATCAATAGTGAGATTGCCAGGATCACCTATCACACAGAAGCCTGGCGGCCCAGGTGACCAGAGATCAGTAACAGGGCTCAAAGCTAAAATCTCTTACATGGAAACCTTTATTTCAAAACTTCAAGAAGAGATATTGTCTAAAGATGAGAAAAGAATGACAGCTGAAGAAGAACTGGCATATGAGCGAGACAAAGCAGAAAGGCTGACAAGCTTACTGGTTAGAGAGAGAAACAAGGCAGTTGAAGCAAATGTTAAGATGGGTCAATTTTTCAATAAAGTTCTCCATTTAGCCAATACAATAGATAGAAGAGAGAAGAATTTCATACACGAAGTCAAACAACATGTGGAAAATATTGATGATTATATTGAAAAGTTGGAGCAGATAGCATCAAAATTGATGAGACTTCCTGAACTCCAACAGATACAACACTCTGAACCAGAGATAACTAAAGATGGGTGGCAGGAGAAGGGAGAAATCAGAGAGGAAAACGGTTATTACAGATCAGAGGTAGCAGCTGATGCTCACCCCTCTCCTTTGCGAACCAAGAAACTAACCCCTTTGAATAGCTGGGATGAAGAGATCCAATTCTTCAATATCGGAGATCTGAAACAAAATGAAGTTATCTGTGGCTCAAGTGAAGAAGAGTTTGAGGACACATTACCACCCCAAGGAGAAATTAGTCAGGTGGATGGTCTGAGAACTCTGTCAATCAAAGACACCGAGGTAGAAAACCAAGTCGAACAGATCAAGAAGGATGATAACAAAGTACATGAAGATAGCGGTAGGCAATTGCCCATGCAGGACAGTGTATCTTCCTTCACGGCACAAGGCTTTCTGGATCGTGGTCATTGGGGTGGAGGGTTGTCGTTTACTGGTTGGCTTCCTAGGATCCCAGAAGGAATAAATGAGGGAGAGGACGATGATTCCTTAGAAAGTGGAGAATTGGAGAGGGAAAGAGATAGACCCATAGATTTCTTTGAGCTTCAGAAAGATGATAATTTCAAAGAACTTCGCAAGAAAACTTGCAACTCATCCGTAACTGAGACAGAGATGCTTGATCCCGAAGCTGAAGGGATTTCCTTGGAGAGAGATGTGTTAAGTTTCACACAGGCCCAAAGGAAAAAGAACACTGAATTGCAGAACAGTCATGAAGTCAGAAGAGAAAGCAAACATGAGAAGGATGCTAGAGATAAGGGGCGGCAGAGTCACTCAGAGGAGGAGGTAGAGTTCTTAGCTATGCTGGTCGGGTTGCCTCCACTTTCAGGAAAAGAGTCAAAGAGGATGGGGAATGGAACATTGGAGTACCAGCTAAACAAGTCACAGTTGGATTGCCGATATTAATATTGGGTGCTCCTCACAAACAATCTCTCAACACAGAGTGCAAAGGACTCCCCAGTCCTGCAATAGAAGGCGACATTTATCTGTATGCAAAAAGTACCCATGAGATATTTGAAAAGTTCTGCTTTATTAATTAGAGGAATTGCGACCGCTGGAAGCATCCAACTTCTAAGACTAGTATCCCGCCCATGCAAAAGCCTCACCACCCAAGTCCTCCATGACTTTAAACATTGAAATTGCGGCATAGTGAATTTTTTATAGTTACGTAAAAATCCTTCAACCTTTATACCTACACATACATGTGTGTGTACACATTCTCATAGTATCTTACTATACGACCATATTATATTTTCAATTGAAACTCCTGATCAATGCTGATTATTCTGTATTTTCTCCACAATCATCATAGAAATTCCAAATTCCTTCTTGGTCGCATTCCATGATTGATAAGCAAAGGGAAATAGACACGAGAGACTGTGTGTCATGCACATAACCTTCCAAGACATCATCGAGGACTTACGCATGTCGAATGCCCCTTTCATCCCTAAGGTGATGACAAATTCCTCTCACAATCTTAAAAAAGTTCAACATATAACAGATGGAAGCACCAAAGTGCAAAAGAAACATAATGAAACATTAATTTCAGGAATGTGAGGTTTGCGGCAATATCTTTGTCTTCTATCCATTTTGATTACAATATCAGGATTTCTCATAACAGCATCAAGGATGATAAACTTTTGGTCCCCATCCAGCAGGAGATATTTTACTTACTTATACACAACTTACCATAAGTGCAGTGCCAGGCAAATCGATAGCAAGTTCTTGATGTTTCCATACTTAATACGAGATTGCCTGTCCATGGTATTTCTGGAAAGAGCTTTTCCAGATTCCAAAGTGATTGCTGCCACTGTTTGGTTGGGCCATTCCAGAAGAAAAAGCCATAAGGCAAGCAATCCTCATTGCCATTGCTAAACCTTTCCCACTGAATTCAAAGCATGAAGAGTTTCACAAGAACATGGAACTTTTAAGAAACTCTCTTTCACTTCCAAAGTTTCTGCACGAACCCAAGTATTGAAGAAAACTCAACCAATCAAGCCAAATGGGGCAGAGAAAACAATCTTGGACATTCCAATGACCATTTCATCTTCCATCTTTCTTACCTGCTACCCCTTACGAGCCTGGTGTGATGGTCGACTATGGAATGACAAGTGGGCTAGATCATCAAGATGCAACAATGGCGTTAAGCCCTTCACCACTTCATCCATTGAAGACCGAAATTCGGGATCCCTGCTTAGGCAATAGTATGCTAACTGTGCAACCTTTGCACTCCTTTGATTGAGTAATTCAGTTCCAAACGAGGGTCTACTAGTTGGTGAAGCTTCCTCTTGTCTGCCAAACGGGGGAGGGCCCAAGCTACCAAATTTTGCTCCCCACCAGGACGATTCTTATCTATGGATCGTCGACCTGTTAGAATCTCTAGTAACACAACGCCGAAGCTACACACATCACTTTTAGAGGTCAGGCGCCCTATAAAAGAACAAATTCAGAAAAGGATAGATCAGCTTTGATCAATGATAGATAAAGTTACTCAAAATTTGAACACGATGTTCTTTTCCCATTCATAAGTAATATTCTATTTTAGTGAGCATATGAAATGTGAGAGTCACCAAGAAACAATAGAATGACTTCATTCAGCTTCAAGAACTTAGCATCCCCAAGATTTTTAAGTGCATACAGTCATAATTGGCGGGGTGTATTTCTCATTGGGAAAACAAAGAGACAGAAGCATATTTTTAGAGAAAAAAAAAAGGGAAACAAAGAAATAGAAGCATGAATTGGGTTCACTCTCAACCTTCTCCAAATAAAGCAAATCAACGAACCAGAACTACAATAATAAATAATCAGTAAAGAATACGACCCCAGATGCTGCAATTCCTACACATTCAGTACATAAAATACTTGCAATGAAAGCATAGAATGAGTATTAAAGGGTGTGGAACTTTAACAAGCGTTAATGGCTATATTGAACATGGAGTCATGATACAAATAAAGTATGGTGATGTAGCCCAGAATCCTACTCTTGAGTATCTAAATAAAAAAGAGAAGCTTAAAGTTTACAAGAAGAACCGTAGAAAGGCAAAATAGCCATTGAATATATCTTTTTATGTCTTTTTCTTATTTTTTGAATCATTTTATTTACTTAGGAGTATATAAGTAGTAATTTTTAATCTTTTATGTCTTTTATTCACTTTAAAATCTTTTATAATAAATGGCTATGATTAAATTAGATGGATGACCAAGATTAAGTCTTGCTTGGGGCTTTCTTATATAAGAGATGTACTCAAGCATAATAAAGCAGCTCTTTCTTTTATCTCTGGTTTTTGCATCGTTTTCGAATTTTAGATCTTCTTGTCATCTGTTCACTAAAACCTAGCTCCAAGCTACTAGGTATGCGCCAAGTTGGTATAAGAGCCCCACGATCTCTACGGTACTCTAGTATTGTTTGTACAATAATATAGCACAGTACAGCATTGTTCACTGAATAGTACTGTAGCATGGTATAATATCGCTGTACAAACGGTAATATGGGATCTGCTTTTTTGCCCTAGATCAACAACCATGCCTCCACATAGAGAAAAATGAGGAAAAGCAACAATTGTAGATGCCTTTGTTAGAGACGGGATTGCAAATCTTAAGGAGATTAGTCGAAATCGTAGCTCCATCAACCTACTGCTCCAGCAAAAATAGGAATATGTTATTTATAAAACAAAGTATCAGGACCCTTTTTACTACTCTCTGACTCGTGATACTGTTCAAATAATAAAAATAGCAGGAAAGAAACAAGAAAACCTTACAGGCAAAAGCAGAAAACCTACCTTCAATTTCAATCTACAGGCATAACCAGAAAACCTACCATCAATTTCAATAAGCTCTTCTCCTTCATGTATGCCGGCATCAGCACCTGGGCTTCCCTCTATACTTGACAGAATAACCTGTGAGTCAATCAAAATTAGAAAGCATGAAATGTAAACAATAATTGTAGACATTTAAAACTTAGCTCCAGACGGTTAAGTAGTAATTAATGCGATAACCCTATAAGGAATCCAAGCAAAACTCCAATAATGTACTGCCCCATGGGAGCAGTCCAGCTTTAAGTACAGAATATTGGTTTTAATTCAAACTTCTCGAGCAAATTCAAAGTTCCATGATAAATAAACAATTGTGAATTATCATATCGATGTCCAAAATAGGTCAAATTTGATGGTCAGGCCATAGCAGATAAACATAGAGAATAATAACACCAAAGAATAATCCAAATTAGGCATTACCAAATTCCTTAGTCAACAAAGTTAAAGCACACTCCAGACTTCTTTCCCAGCTTGCGAAGCGAAAACGAAAAAAATATATGTAATTTTAATATTCCAAGCCAAAAGAAAGAACGAAAAACCACTAAAATCAGAGAGGCTCCAATTACATTGTTTTATTTTGTCATTTAGCTATTAAAAAGGCACTAGAAAAACCACTCCAATTACAATGTTTTATTTTGTCATTTAGCAATTAAAAAGGCAACAGAAAAACCACTAAAATCACATAAAGACTCTAATTACCTTGTTTTATTTTGTCATTTAACAATTAAAAAGGCAATGCAGTTTCCATAGTCATATGTGGGATTCTTATTTGTATCGCATCCATTATGCAAATGTCATCAATCAGATTTCATGCTTAGAGATCCATTAGTTTAAGATATTTGTTGCTATTGTTATTTAATTGAAGGTATTTTGTTATTGTTGATATTTAATCTCATTGTTATATATCTGATCATCTTAATTCTGCTATCATTTTAGGGGCTCCTTTTTCTATTTCAGAAGCCTTTTCAACATAAAAAGCTGAATAGCTCCAAGGTGATGACTATTAAAAGAAACAATAGCAACAAATAACTTAAACTAATAATAGAACACTTTCAATTAAATAACAATAACAACAAATATTTTAAAATAAACAATAGGAAGCTTACATGGTAGGTTTGATACAGATAGGGTAAGCTTGATGTACCAACAGGTATGGTTTACTTCTGCTCAAACCAAGCACTCAGACAGACTCAAACCAAGCACTCAAACAAAACTCTTAAAACACTTAAACAAACCAAACACTCAAGAAAACTCTCCGTCTGTTTTCGAATGCCTTCATCTTCTTCTCTGCTTCTCTTATCTAGGGGAAGGAGTCGGACTTCAAAATGTTTTAAGTCCGCACTGACATCGATAATGTTCTGGATAAATTTGTCATTTTGATTTTTATCTTAATCTGAGTCAACTGGAAACAGTCCCTACACCTTTTCTGCCCTTCTGGCTTAACGGTGATCTTTGGGTTATAGCAACTTTAGGTTTTTGACAAAAATCTAAATATGCAAAAGTTTTTTAGTTCAACGGGGTATACTTAATACTAACAAAACAACTGTATGAACTAGGCATATACTTCAAAACATATATATACTGTATAAACCGATTTGCCTAGTTTATCAAAAAACTATTTTCTTTCAAATAATTGTTATTTGAGTCAGATATCAAAAAACAATTATTTGATATTCTATTAATAAAAAGACAAATTCAAACCAAGCACTCAGACAAACTCTTACAAACAAACACTCAAACAAACCAAGAAATCAAGAAAACACTCTGCCTGTTTTCGGAAGCCTTCATCTTCTTCTTTACTTCTTTTATATAGGGGAAGGAGTCTGACGTCAAAATCTTTTAAGTCCCCACCGACATCTTTTTGGGAAAAAGTAAAATTCCCTACAGTGAACCTGACACCTTTTGGGAAAAGCAACATTCCCTGCATTACACAGTTTTGTCGATTGCAACAATGCTCTTCTTTTTGCTGGAAATTCGTTAGTAGTAATAATGCTCTTATATTTTACTGCTAGCTTTAGGGACACGTGTCCTGGGTGAATTTTGAATCTTACCGTCCCTATTAATTTTTCTTTTAATTCATCGGGGAAAAATTTATCCATGCACAGTCATAACCAATGGTGGATTGTCATCTTCGGTTTCTTCTTCTTCTTTTGTTGGTGTGGTCTGTATATCCACATCTTCTTCTAGTGCTAAAAATAACTTTCTTTTAATCTCTGCTTTTGATAATTTGGGATTCTTTTGTTGCATTATTGTGATGTATTATGTTATATCGATGTTTGAACTTGGCGAGGAGGATGGTATTATCTTCATATAAATTTGTTCTAGGTCCATGGAGTTATTTTTTTAACTGCCCCACCATTTTGGTGATATTTGTTGGCGTAATTCGGGGATATAATCCCACTGGTCCATATCATCTTCGGAGAGTTGATATATCCATTTTAGTATCCAAGGGACCTGATATAAGGCCATGAAGTATAAATAATAGTCTCTTTGTAGATAATGTTTATTGTAGTCAGAGAATTTTCTTTGTGATATTTGCATTTTTTGAGGAAGTATCTGGCTGCATGATCCTCATAACAGGAACCAACTTTTTAACCAGTTAGAGAATTCGATGAGTTCAATTATTTTAAATTGTACATACCAACTATACGAAGTTTTGGTATTTTGGTACGAAAAGACTTCATCCCAAGCCTTGATATATTCGAAATAATGGTAGGATTTACTTTTAAATCCTCTAGTATTTAACATCATTGGTTTTAAATGATCTAATCCCCAATCTCTATAGGAGATGATTTTATGAATTTGGAATTTTGAGTATGCAATCTTTGTGTCATTATTTTTATAGTGGTGTACTATTGTCACAGATCTTGTTTCCATGAGTATGGCTTCATGCTATTCTCTACATTTTTCTCCCATATTGGGATGAAGGTGATTTTGTAAATATATTGCTGCTATCTCGGTAGGGTCTTTTCCCCTGTGATCGTTCTCCACAATTTATGCGTGGTATATATGTTGTTTCCAGAAATGGAAGCACTCGGGTTATTAGTACTTAAACGGGATTGTTGGGGAGATATATCAATCTCTTACTTTCTTATTAAAGCTCTTGGAGTTGATGGTGAAGCCAGGCCTTTTCTTGAGTTGCGAACTATATTCGTTGGATGACTATGCGGAGCCAAGCTTTTTACCCGGGATGAAAACTATATCAATTGGATGATTTTGCCTTTTCTTGTCCTCGTAAAAATTCTCGGGTCAAAAAGTTAGGGACATGGTTATTTTTATCATTAACGTGTTCAATTGTAAATTCAAACGATGAAAGAATACCTTGCCATTGAGCAAAAATTTGTTTTGAGACAAGATGTTTTACTTCTTTTTCAATAATATCTTTGGTTGCCTTAAAATTAGTACGAATAAGAAAATTTTGGTTTAGTAAGTCACTCTGGAATTTAGTCACACAATGAACGACAGCCAATATTTCTTTTTTGACTATGGAGTAGTTCTATTGGGCAAGATTCCAGGTTTTAGAAGTAAAACGCACCAATTGTTCTTGCTCCTGAAATTTTTGTTTGAGTATGCCACCTAGCCCTTGTTCTGAAGTGTCAGTTTCAACAATTTTAAACGCTATAGGATTAGATAATACTACGCTAGGCAATTCTTTGGCTTTCAATTTCAATTTTTTGACTGCCATGGTATGCTCGTTAGTCCAATAAGGAGAGTTCTTTTTTAACCTTTGAAACAAAGGTATAGCGTCTAAAGCAAGGTTTTTATAAAAATCAACGATATAATTCAGGCAACCGAGAAATCTTTGAAGTTCGGTTTTGTCTTTAATAATATCTGAGAATTTTGATGCAAATTCAATCGCCCCTATTAATAGGAATTATTCTCCCTTGATAAATATTATGTTCAAGAAACCTTATTTTTGTTTTAAAAAGATTTATCTTTTTTGCTGATACAACTAACCCAGCATTTTTAATAGCTTTAAAAAATGTGTTTAGAAGTTTCCAGTGTTGTTCTATAGTTTCGGAATAAATAAGAATATCATCAATGTATACAATCATAAATTTGGTATAAGGATTAAATATGTCATTCATGATGTTTTTAAATTCAGAAGGAGCATTTTTTAAACCAAAAGGCAATACATTCCATTCATAATGTCCGAAGGGAACATTGAAGGCGGTTTTATATCTGTCATTTTCTATTATTTGTATTTGCCAATATCCAGATTTTAAATCAAAATTTGAAAATATGAAGGCATTAACCAATCTATCTAAGAGGCCTCATTTGTTTGGAATGAGATATCGAATCCATCTTAAAACCTTATTTAAAGGTTTGTACTTTATAACCAGTCTAGAGGTTCCTCTTTCTATTTCAGAAACCTTTTCAACATAAAAAATTGAACAGCTTCAGGGTGAAGACTTTTTTTGATAAGCCTTTGATCAAGCAAATTTTGTATTTCAGTTTTGTAAATTTCAAGGAGCCTACTATTCATTTGAATATGCCTAGCTTTTGTAGGAATGTTTTGCTCATCAAACCTTGGTTCGTAAGGAGGTTCAACAATATGTTGTTTCTAATTCCAAAAGGCGTTAGGGACATTAGAGCATATTTTATTTTTCAAGAATAGTTTTGAAACTATTAATTTTACTTTGTATTTAAGAAGATAGTATTTTTTCCCCAATGGTTTTAAATTTGATTTCTTCTTTAAGATGAAAAAGGAATTTTTCCGTGGTAGAGATTTTATCTTTGATATTATTTATTTCATGAACTCTGGGTTTACCTATGAAGGTAAACTTTACCTCATGTCTCTCTATGTTAGCCTCAATACCAGTATTATCAATTTTTATAGGGTAAAGAATATTTAGGAAAGGAGTTCCAAGAATAACCGATTGACTTAATCCTTTAACCATGATAAAAAAAAATTTGAAGCAAACATCGTTATTGCAAACAGTCGCATCAGAAAGCTTGTAGTTTATTATCATCTTACTTCCATCAGCGGTATTTAGAGCCTGTGTAGTTTTACTAAAATATTTTGTTGGGACTAAGCCCTCATTTATACCGTTCAAATAAGCTCCTGAATCAATGACGGTCATGGTTTGGAAAGTATATTCTTTTTGGACAACGATTTTGACGATACTAAACCATCTTTGAGTTATGACTTTGTCCAACAGATTAATATATTCACAGTTTTGAATTTTCTCTAACGTATTACATTTGGTCGAGTTTTCAGGGTCATTATTTTCCAGAACCGTTGGCATAGTGTCTTCAATTTCAGGAGGTAGAAGATTATGGCTATAATCTTTTATCAAGTTATTGAATTCTTCTTTAGTATTTTCATCATTGTTATCTTCTTTTTTGAAAGCAGTATCAACCATTTCTAGGATTTGTACTCTATTTTTTA